GTAGATTCCCTGCTGAGCAGGAGCCCCGACAAGGGGCTCAATCCCAGGATCCTGGGATCATGACCTGAGCCAAAGGCAGACACTTAACCCACTGAGCCACCCAGGGGCCCCTAGGTCCACTTTATTTTCAAATTAAGGATTCTAATATATTTGATTATCAATATGATCATGTTTTGCTTTTAATAACTTTCAAGCTGTTACTTCAAAGAGAAAATATCACATCCTTGAAGGCAAGACGATTACTTTTCTATCCCTAGAGCTTAGCACAATGTTTGGCATAAACTGATGCTAAATAAATGTTTTCTGAATTCACACCTCATTTTTAGCAATGTATATAAAATATTGAAGTTTTATTAAAACTAACGACTTGTTTTCTCTACTTCTCCAAAATGAGCTCTTGAGCACAATCAAAAACAGTCTCAAAACAAAGGGATCCACAATGTGTGGAACAAAGGTCCACAATTCCATGCTCACCTCCACCAGGTTCCTTGCCTGTTCCCAGCATGGTAGTTATCACTAGCAGATTCCTAATCACCCTCGCCCCTACAGCAACCATTCTAAAGCTTCTTCACTTTCAAATTCCCAATACCTCTCTCCACTTCCTCACTCTTTGAGGTGCCTTGCTCTATTTTTTTTCTTATAACACTGAAACCCATGATTTCCCTCTTCTTCACATCAACATTTCTGGTTGACCCTGCTCTTGTTTGGTTTTTCAAAGGACACAATCTTCCTTCTTTTCACCTGCATTCTCTGCTACCAATTCTACTCTAGTAGAACCAGTCTGTCTCCTCACCTTCCTCCCTGCCCTCTGGGCCTTATGTGACTCAGGCTTTTCTCCACTCACTCCTACTCCCAGCCTTGACTGCCAGAAATGGCCTCTTCCATTCGTTTCCATATTCAAACTATACCAAACTCAAATTACTCTAGGAAGTACAGACCAATCCAGTTTGCATTAGCTCTTTCTTCTCTCAGCCCCAAAGCACTGAAGGTGTGTAATATTTACTTCCCAATTAATTCCTTCCTGCTTGTGGATATGTCTTATACTACAACTCTTTTTATCTGCATCTTTTCCCCCCAAACTATATTTACAAGCTATTTTAAGGCAAGGTCTGTCTTCTACCTCACTGTACGAGTCTTCTGTTTACAATATACATTCCAATATTTTTTGATAATGGACTGGTAGTAAGTTTGCTCAAAAATTAACTTTCTTATGACTCCCACAATATTCATCATTATCCCGAATATACTGACCCTTTCACATTGTGTATTTAATGTATGCATTTTTTTTTTTTACCCTTTGTTCACATAAGCCTTATGTAATTTAAAGCAAAGCCTTCTCTTCCGGTAGGATTTTCTCTATTTAACTTACTTTGTAATGGTAATAAGCAGTCATCCCAAACTGGTGATTCTGGGGAGGATGACAGTTTAAAATGTGATTGAAAGTTCCACAGATAGGATACTGAGAATCTAATACAAAAATACGAAGTCACCTGCAAAAATGTGTATTTATGCTGCATTTTTCAGGGGAGCAAATCCGTATTTTCATCAGATTTTTTTCCCTCCTTAGGACTTCAAAATTAAGAATCACCAGTTTCTTCTGGGGCACCTGGGTGGCTCAGTCAAGTTAGATGTCCAAGTGTCTTAATTTCGGATCCGGTCATGATCTCAGGGTCGTGCGCTGGAGCCCTGCATGGGGCTCTGTGCTGGGCATGGAGCCTGCTTAAGATTCTCTCTCTCCCTCTTCCTCTGCCCCCCACCCATGCTTGTGCTCTCTCTCAAAAAAAAAGATTCACCAGCTTCTTCAAAAAGTTAAACATGGAATTATCTTATAACCTAGCAATTCCAATTTTATATATATGCCCAAGAAAACTGAAAACACATGTTAACACAAAAACATGTACATGAATGCTCACAGCAGCATTACTCATAATAGCCAAAAAGTGCAAACAACTCAAATGCCATCAACTGATAAATGGATAAACAATGTGGTATTACCATACCATGGGATATCACTAGGCCTTAAGAAGGAATGAAGTATTGATAAATGCTAAAACACAGATGAACCTTGAAAATACTATGCAATGTGAAAGAAGCCAGACCCAAAAAGCCCCATATTACATGATTCCATTTGTATGGAACATCCAGAGTAGGCGAATATCCACAGAGACAGAGAGTAGATTAGTGACTGCCAGAGGCTGGGGAGAGGGTCTAATTGGGAGTGACTACGAATAGCTAACAGGTTTCTCAGTGTGATGGAAATGCTCTGGAATTATAGTGGTAATGGCTGCACAACTTTGTGAACATACTAAAAACCAATGAACTGTATACGTTAAAAGGGTGAATTTATGGAAAGTGAATACTAAATCTAAAAAAACCTCTCCTTTTACCCAGCTGCATGCTTGATATCTTTTGCATCATCTTTCCAAATCTAAACTCTATGCATTCACTCATTACTCCCAACCACCTCCTTTTCTTCAGGTTTCTAATTTACGTGTAGTTTCTCAGGTTGGAAAATTACAGAGCTCTCTAAGTTCTTTTCTCTCAGTTCAACATCCGTCAGTCACCAATGCCAGGCCTTTCTTTAATAATAAAAATGGTTGCCACTAATGAATATGTAATTCCTGCCAAACACTATGCTAGATGACCCCCAATTATCTTTAACTCTTACACTAATCATGCATTTTACAGAAGACAAAATTGAGGCTTAAAGAGTAAGTACCTGTTCTTTAGTCTTTCTCCCTCCCATCTATCCTCCTGATCCTCCTAAAATCAAACCTGATCATGTTACTCCCTTACCTAAAGCTCTTTAAAGGCCTCCTACTGTCATAAAGTCCAGACTCCTTAACTTGGTATAAGGTGCCCTTCACGATCCCACTTCCCTCACCACTTCTAATACCCGCTTCTTTCGGTTCCTGGACCATGCCATGCTCTTTCTCCTCCTGCCTTTGGACTTGGCACAGAGTTCCCTTATTCATTCACTCAACAAATATGTACTAAGTGTCCACTATGTGCCTGGGCTTGGGCCATATGGTGAATAAAACAGATATAGGTCCTGCCCTTAAGGCACTTAAGGTCAAATGGAGGAAACAATAATAAACAAGTAATTTCAGATTGTAATAAGTGAAATGAAGGAAGCAGGAACAATAGATGTTAGGAGTCAGGGGAAAACTAAAACGACTGTTTTAGATAGGTTGGTCTGGTAAGAACTCAGGTGGTGACATACTCTGAAAGCTGAAGATTAAGAAGCCAATTATGTGAAAAGTAGACAAGAGGAGGAGGAAGTGAGTGACAACAGATGCTCCTGGAGCCATAAGCAGAGCCCAAACCAAGGATTTCTGTAGGCCATGGTTAAGAGTTGGAATTTTAAAGATTTTATTTATTTATTTGACAGAGACAGACACAGCGAGAGAGGGAACACAAGCAGGGGGAGTGGGAGAGGGAGAAGCAGGCTTCCCGCCGAGCAGGGAGCCCGATGCGGGGCTCGATCCCAGGACCTGGAATCATGACCTGAGCCGAAGGCAGACGCTTAACGACTGAGCCACCCAGGCGCCCCAAGAGTTTGAATTTTATTCTAAGTGCAATGTAATTCATTGAAGAGTTTTAAGTAAGGGAGTGTCACTTTTTTTGCTGAATGGAGAAGGGATTGGAGGGGCACAAGATAAAAAACAGGATCCCGTGGCCTTAAGATATAGCAGTGGTTTAGGTGAGAAATGTGGATCATCTGGACAAGGGTCTGATAGTGAAGGTGGGGAAAAGTAGACAAATTAGATGCAGAATTGACCTGACTTGCAGTCACCCATTGAAAGTGAGAAAGAGATGAAGAGAGGATATATAGAGTTTGGGGAATTGTCATGGGGGGAAGTAAGCTTACCACAGAAATAGAATCAGAGGATCTCAGGCCCATGCTGAATGAATATTCAAGAGGTTGATCATTTTCATTTTATACTGTCATCAGTTTGCCCAGGACTGTTTCCAGAAAAATTCAGCCATGTAAGTGCAGGTGTAAAGAGAACAAAAGGTTGGGTTCATCAAGAGTATGAGTTCTGCCAGAAGAATAAAAGGAAGGGAAGGACAAGGGAATGGTGCATCTTCAGAGGAGAGATCATGACAAAATAGAGCATGCATTATAAACTGGATAAGGGGGTACAGATGTACAGAAAATGTAAGAATCAATGGATGGGAAGTATAGATGAAGTTCAAGAATTGTATCCTAGGGGTGCCTGGGTAGCTCAGTTGTTAAGTGTCTGCCTTTGGTCCTGGGATGGAGTCCCGCATCAGGATCCCTGCTCAGTGGGAAGCCTGCTTCTCCCTCTCCCACTCCCCCTGCTTGTGTTCCCTCTCTCGCTGTGTCTCTCTGTCAAATAAATAAATAAAATCTTAAAAAAAAAAAAAAAAGAATTGTATCCTTGGGGTACATAAGGGAGTTTATAAGGACAAGAGACTGGTCAGACAGGACAAAATTATAATTGTTTCCTCCGCTTGGACTGGTCATTTCCTGCTCTAGGTAAACATGAGTACTTGATCTCCAATCACAGCCATCCTGTTTTTCTGCTCCCTGTCTTCCCACAACTCCCCCGCACTACCATCTAAGTTTGTCACGATCTCATTCAATCTTAAAGACCCACCTCCAACTACTCCTTCCTTGAAGCATTTATGTTTTCCCCACAGGGATCTCTCCTCCTGGTGACAGCCTTCACCCAGTGTGTACTGCTAGTATTATTCATATTACCAGGTATTAATCATTCTTTTCCTTTCTAGGCCCCTTTACTCAACTGGAAAAAAAGCATTATTATAAACAATCAGAAGTCTCTAGATTCTCCAGTAGCAGTACCCAGAACTGTGCCAGGCACGGAGCAATCACTCAGTAAAGGCTAACAGAGATCTCTGGCACAAGGGCCCCCCCAACCTCACTGGTTACCTAAGGCAGGGTTCCACCAAAATCTAACAAAAGCTCATAATCTCTGTTCATAGAAGTCCGAGTCCCAGATATTTCCATTTACCTCAAGAGTGGGCTCCACTTTCACAGATTTAATTTTAATCCATTCAAATCACCCTCATGCGTGAATCAGCCCTGGCAGGATGTGGGGATACAGGGCCTGCACGATGACTGGAAATCTGGATGCCTCAATTTGAGAAAAGCCACGTTCACTAAAAAATAATAATTTCTTCACAGTTTAATGCCGTGTCGGAGAGACGTGAAATAAGAGCTAGACCAACAGGCCACAGGAGAAGTGCCAAGAATGAGCTGGCACAGGGTTGTACTCATGATCTGACTTCAGCCTGGCGCCTACCTTCCACCTGTCCAGCTCCAGCTTCGGGGGCCGTTTCAGGGGTCGTCCCCGGGGTTGCTGCCATGGCTAGCTCCGCCCCAACCCAAAAGTGGAGTGGAGTGGGAGTGGGTTCAGAGGACCGCCAAAAACCGGGCTCTGGAGTCGCAGGACAGGAAGGAGCCGCGCTAGCAACTCCAAGGCTCCCCCGGAAGCACCACTCACGCGGCAGTCACGTGACGGGCGCTGGGCGGGGCCACGCAGGTTTGTTTTGATTCCCAGGTTGTTGAAATGTCAGCACGTGGTCTCGGCTGTAGCGCTTTGTATCTCCCCCAGAGTTTAGCCTTCTTTTTTTGTAGTCTTTTCTTGGATTAGTTTCTGCTCCCCGTCTTTTTTAGTCAGGTCCTTCCTATCTGCCTTGCCGCTTTCCTACACCCAACAGTATTGGAGTTTTAGGGGATGGTTTGCAGTTCTGTGGGGCTCGGAGCAGTGGAATGGGGGCTCCGCCTCCGCCTTACTCTGCAGACGCTCTTACCAGGAGAGCTAACGCTTCTCTTCCACCTTTCTCGCCCTTCTGGCAGCAACATGACTCCATCTGTTTTTTGTGGCTTCTGGGGAATACGAACTTCAGGCAAACGTCCTTTAATTGCTCTCTCCGTGACTCATTTCCCGACCCACACAAGCCAAATCGCTTGACCTAGGGTTTCAAGGACACTAATCGACAGCTGTCAGGCTTCTGGATTTGTATAATGAAATAAACAACCGGCTGCTTGATCAAGAGATCAACCCCCACCCTTCTCACTTTTCGTCTGGTCAAAATTGTAATAACTGGAGATGAATCTAAGTCATTAGGGGCAGAAATCTCTTAAGTCTTAATCAACATATCTTTATTGCTAGCCTATTAATGACAGGCAACGCGTAGAAAGATACCTATATCTTTTTAAATTACATAGGAATGTAATTGGCTAGTTTATAATCTCATTGGGTATGTAAGACAAAGGGTAACTGAAAAAACTAGGCAGTACTTACTGTCTGTAAAAAAGAAATTATTTTCAAAGGGCAAATCCAACAGCTCAATCTTACCCTATCTCCCCCTTTAATTTCTAAAGTTAGAAATCCAACAAAAATAATAAATCCAATATAGAAGCAAGCAATAGCTTAAGTGACCGGAGGTATCCGAGTTGTTTATCTGACACGTGATGTAAACTTAGGCACTTCCTCCAGCAATCCCAGGTTCCTTGCCCAACCTCCTCTTAACACAGCCTTTCTGGGAGTTTCCTTTTCCCCGGCTCAGCCGCGCTCCTCCCGCCTTTTGGTTTCTCCTTGTCCTCCCTCAGGGACGGGGGTCTTCACGCCCTCTACCGCCTCAGTTTACGCTCCAGTGCCCGCGAGGGGACTGCCCCAGAGCGGTACCCCGGCCTCCTCCCCGCCCGCGGCACCTGCCCCGCCTTCCAGCCCCTGGCCGGCTCGCGCGGCGCAGGCGCACCGGGCGCGGCTCAGAGGCCGAGGGCGAACACAGCCTATTCTGCCTCCGCCTCCTGCGGCCGCATCCGCGCGGGGCTGGTCGGCGGCC